TTCTGCTCTATAAATAGGTTAAAATAGCCATATGTTATTCTCCCTTACTAGCCATATTTCGCCCTTTCTCATACTATGGAATGTAGTCCTCTGTAATCTTTTATTTCCACAGTTATTCCGCATTCCATTTTCTCAATAGATTACTTATGCTTGTCTTTGTTAGATTTTATTATTCGTCATCTAAAAGTTAACTCCTGACTATTTTGACAGACGCTCATTCCTTATATTCACATTTTCTTCCTAAATTTTGAAATCAATTATTCATATTAATTAGTATGCATTTGCTCATTTACTCATATGCGAATTTTAAATACCAATTCTTTTGAATCTATATGCTCATATTTACTTATATCTTTATGCGTGGATGATCTTTTATATATTTTATTTACATTTCTGTTTTTATTATTTTAAGGATATCCGTTCTAAGTGAATCAAAATGTGAGGCAGATCGTTCTTTTCATATAGCTTCATTACAACTAACTGAGACAGAATCTCGTCTATCCTCCCGAGAGGCCGACCTTCGTGGACAAACTGGTCAATTGAAAGCCCTTCAGCAGAGTCTTGATACGGCTGGAGAGGAATTGACACGTCTCAGGCCGATGGCTACTATAGCTGAGGAAATGGAGAAGGTTAGTGAAGAAAGAATGATGTAGGAGGCATGAGAGGTCTAAGCTGAATGACCTATACGGTTCTCCTTGCTCTCGATTATGTGCTTTTTATCTCATCGGTTGGCTAATTTTACTCTGTCCTTATTAACATATCTGAATAGTAATTAAAGCATTATTTTCTAAGATCTGCCTCAATTGTCTGATAGCATGCCTACATTATGCTTACCAAGCAGAACTTTAAAAGTCAGATTATCATGCTTTCTGGTATCTCTCGTCCACTATAAACTTTCTTAGCCTTTTTTTCCTCTTCAAAGTTTGGCATATTTACTGAGTCGTTACATCTCATGGCCATACATTGATTTTATTGTCTCTATGATGATTTCCGGCTCGGCGTTTAGGATAGAAAAGCCAATTGAAGATACTGAATAGGTTGTCGGCAAGACATCTGGAAATGTGATAAGTCAATTACTTGATGCTGGATATAGTCGTGACTACCACGATAGAGCATAAAGTGCAGAGGACTGTTGTATTGTGCGAAGAAGTCCTGCCACCCTAATATACCTGTGCTAAACTTTCGTCTGTACTGTGACAGAGATCATCATCAGAAGAAACCATACTTAACGGAATAGAGCGAAAATAGACCAAACTAGGAAATAAGGTGGCCGGTTGTAACCCTAATTGCTTTTTTATACTCCTAACCTTGCGATCTTAATAGGGCATTCCATGATTTGGTTGGATACCTCAAACTTACTTTACATGCTTGCAGATGAGTGAAGTTACTTCACCAACCGGAAATGCGCGAGTGGTAGCGACTTCCTTACATAAATTAACTAACGTCGATTTATGTTTGGATTTGTGCCATGGTATATAGTGTGCATGTAATGTTTAAGTCATGAGAAGTGTGATTCGAGGTTGATCTAGCCTCCTTGCCTTGTCAACTGGCTCTTCATCCTCTCCCTCTCTCTCTCCCATTAGGCTTATCCAACAAGCACAAATAGTTATGACTAAATTTTCTACGCTCGTTCTTTCTATTTAGGACGTTGGCTTTTTCTTAATTTCTATAGAATTCCTAATCTTACGCTTTGTTGTGAAGTCCTCGTAACCCACAAAACCTTTTGGATCAGTCTATTGAGTGTCCTGTATTTCCCATTTGTTCAGCGCGCTTATCCTTTTAGACTCATACACCTTTACTTGCGGTTTTGTGTCCGCATAGTCTCTTCTGGATGCGTCAGCAGGTCTCTCCCACATAGGCATTGCCACACGAGCACAAAATCTTGTAGTAGCCTGATCTAGAAGGAGGGCCTGGAAATTCTTTAAACAAGGGAACTACTGAAGAAAGTCGAAGATATGAAGACCAGAATGGTGTGGTCTTTTGTATGGTCGCGGTCTCCTTTCGTTGTATGGGAGTTGTTTGACTTTGGCCTCACAGCTTGGTCATATTAGCAGGAAGACCTAGAGAAATAAACCTTATCATGCATTATGGACTCCGGAGAAGGTGCCTTCCTCTAGGTCTTCCTGCTATTGTTACCAAGTTGCGAAACCAAGGTCAAATAACTTCTACTGAAGAAAGTGTTAATTTCTCTTTTTACACTGTTTTTATGTTCGGTTTCCTCAGTAGATCACCCAACTTTTTCGCAAGCTGACAAGAAGGCAAAATCAGGAACTGAAAAGAATGGTCCAGTTGTCTATCTCGCATCTGATAGCAAACCCCTCTAATATTATTAACTACAATTGATATGTCATTGTATACTAATTCTAATGGGTAATTGTTTCGAAAAAATATATACCTCAATCTACCGATCTTCTGCTCCCTGTGGTCTACGTCTGCTAGACGCAGACTCCTTATTAACATTGATTTCAAAACTCTTATTTTAACTCTAAATGCATGATTGGAGAAGACATTAATGAGGAAAACTGCATGTGTGGGTTTCTTATAGATGTATCTGCCTAACTTAATTGTTATTTGCCAGCTAAAACATTAAAAAACACTGCGACCACACAAAAGGCCACACCATCTTGGTCTTCATACCTTCGATTAAAAAACAAGTTATTTTCCTTTTCTAACGCCATAGTGAACTTAATATTGGCATCTATTCTATTTATTAGCTTTTAGTGAATTAATTAAATTCATTATAAATATATTTTCGGCTTCTCAATACCCTATTGAATACACCAGCATAAGTAGAGATAACTGTGAGAGATGTAGTCAGACTGATAGTCGAGTAAAGCTAATAAAATAATCCCCCCCAAAATGGATATACTCGAAAAAGAATCGTGTTGTATTAGGCTTCCGATGT